GCAATATTTGCCATGTGCAGACGCTGTATATTGATATATTAGAATGTAGATATTGAGAATCTGGGATTTGTAGAATTGTCCAGCCCCCTCATTTATATCAGCTAGGCCCAGCAAAATGTGAATAAAAATAAACAAACACGCAGGGTTCAGAAAAGCCTTTGAAGCCACCAGTGTTTGCCACAATCCAAAGACACGCAGGTTAGGTTAATAGGCTGTCTAAACTGCCCGTAGGTGTGACTGTGACTGGTTATCTGTCTCTGTGTGCCGGCCCTACTGGCAACCTGTCCAGGGAGTACCCTGCCTCTTGCTCTTTGTCTGCTGGTTTGCGATCAATGTCAGATCATCTACCTGTCTACCTGCGCACAGTCTGCCATGCAGTCACTGCACATGACAATGTGTTTTGGGGGATTGACTTTGGATGGAGGCCTAAAGGGAGGGGGTGGAGTCCTAGAGATGTGCATACTTTGCTCACCAGTCTTGCTGGCGTTACCGCTGGGGCAAGCTAGAGCTGAATCCGAGGGGGATGGTGGGGGAGGCACACATCATGTCGCTGCTTCATGTGAGTTACTTTTTAGGTTAGTCGTGATGCCTGTGTTTTGCAAATTGTATGCGTCTTGTCTCTTTAGAAAAATCCGAAGTGTCTCCAAACATTTAATTTGGAGGAATCCTCCATGTTAATCTAATGTGACAATGTCTTGGCCTCCGTAGCTGACAGGCCACTGATAGCAGTGGAGGAGAGAGAAACTCTTTAGGAGGAATCAATTCACATGAAATGTAATCAATTTGATACCAAATAATTGGTCACATTTATAAATAATGACGGTGTAGGGACAAATGATGATATATAAATAAATCAGATTTTACCGAAGATGTTTGAAATGACTCATCTTGACTTCATCCTTTATTGTAAGCGGTGCACAGTTTTTTAATCGGGCCAGTCACATCTTGAACTGTTATGCTGGTGCACCAATACGAATTGGTGAATCTTACCATCCCTATATTTAATAATCAGCACAATAGAAAAGTACAGTACAGAACATAATTAAGACAAAATAAAATGTGACAAGTGGACTAACTTTGCGAACTAATTTGCCGGAGTGAATTTCGAGCTCTAGTGGCATCAAACGTGAAAGCATCCTTCCCGCACTGTGAGTTCTACAAACTGAAGCAACAAACTGAAGCCGTATGTTGAGTTTGATTAAAAAAGGACATAAGTAGGAGGGCAACAAACCAATAATGTAGTCTTAATGTTAAAAGTGTATTAAAGAGGCAATAAATAGTTATACAAAGGGGTGCTCGACATGTTTCTGTGTCGTTGTTAAATGTTTAATATGGGAAAAACATCTTAACCTGGTTTCCCGTAATTGGAGTATGACCTCACCAGGTTATTCTAACCCAGTTATGATGCATGAATTGACCTAAACCTGGGTCACCTGTTGCAACTGGTTGGATGGCAGACTTCTCCCTGCATGAACACGGGCGCATTGTCATTTACTTACTTAAGGATAAAGGTAAACTGTGCCAGGAACCTCAGTGGGAGCTGGGAGCTGGGTGCTGGCTGTGTCTGGACCTGGCAGCAGTTCAACCTGAAGCTTGAGAGGAGGAGAGGACGATGTGGCCAACAGCTGCTTGTCTGTCTGTTTGGCCGCAAACCCTCCTGCCAAGTGCACAGAATCACAATCTAACTTTCACTGTCTGGATTTCACGGCCCAGTAACATCGCCTATTGTATATTTTGATTCCTCCTTTGCACTTTGTCTAATTTTTGCGTTTGAGCAGTCGGATGTGGGTGTCCAGCTTTGATATTTGTCTCACTTCAGGATTACACTGCATTTTTAGATAATGTTTGGTGTTATTGTGTTTCTGGTTTAGAATAAATCAAATACTATATCCAAAAGGGAAAACTGGAGCTTTGAATATAAAGTCAGTTTACTACAAAGGTATGGCTCATTTCCCTTGATGGGTGCTTTTTTCATTACCCAAGCTGAAAACACATCAGCTCATGCAGAATTATTTCCCTGCTTTATTCTCTATATAGTTTTGACTGAATTATTAAATACACACATTTTCCCAGGAGTATCAGTGCTTTAAAGGCAGCAATGGATACAAATTTAGAAGAAGCATGGAAATGTTATCAAGCCACACACACACACACACACACACACACACACACATATTCCCCAGCAATATTTTCTTCTTATTTTACAGTGCTATTATTTCACATTCTGTGCATTATGCTGTGCTGTTTGCTCGCTTTAAAAAGGTAGTCTTAAAAACAAAACAAAACACCTAGCATCTTGTCTCTGTATTTCTCCTCTCAAACCACGACTTCCTTCTGTCTTTCTTGTCATCTTTATGAAAATGGGATACTGCTCCTGCTCATTTGTTCAGTATCTTTTGCCAAAGATCTCTGAAACAGAGTTGAGAGGGTCCCACAGGGCTGAGCCACATGCAGCTGTGTTCTGCCTGCCATAACATTGGAAGAAGCTCAGAGCTAATGGCCATGTTGTGTTGTGCAGCTTGATATGAGATAGACACTGTACAGTAGATGTGCTATAGATGAGTGGACCCTGTGTTAATTATAAAGTGAAGGTTAGAGAGTGAAGTAAGTGCTTCAGATAATGTACACAATATGAAAAGAGGACAGGCTATCGAGAATCTAATAATGCTTCTTTAGCGTCTAGCATCATGTGGTGCACAGTGCAAATTTATGCCCGGAAAATAAAGCGGCTTCTGTAATCTTACAGTTGCACTATGCAGTACTGTTCACTTGAAATAATTTTCCGTGTTGGCAAGCCCAAATAGGGGTATCAGGTTACTACTAAAATGTCTTCTTTTTATGTGGTGAGGTGGTGATGATGAAGAGGTTCGGGCACTTTCTTGAAGGCTTGTAAATAAGTCATTATAACCAACAAGGTATGTGACAGCGAATGTCAATTTTTGGTCTGGTCTGCTTCAGAATTTAAAAATTGCTTATATGTATAATGGCAGGGGTGTTGGTAGGCCCTTGAAACACTGGGGGCTTAGCCAAGCCCAGAAATCTTCACCTTTTCACAACTGATTTAAGTAGCCTTTTTAAATGTGCATGTGGCACCTATTCACCTCAATAATAAATTAATTAATTTTGATTTGTTTGGAAACCTGTTTCAGTAGGTTTTTCACTCATGTTAAAAACTTCCCGCACATTAAAAATCTATCCCACATATCTGTGTTCTCTGACATTTCCAGAAAAAAAGCCGTAATACTTTCAGAAAAAGGGGTATAATATTACAAGAATAAAGTCGCAATCTAATGAGAATAAAGTAATAATATTTTAACAAAATCTACCTATGTTGTACTCTGTGGTGCATTAGCCTACATTATTGCTCTGCTGTTGTGGTAGTACCACCTTCAGACTGTCTGACAGACACAGAACCATTTGATACTGTATGGATGAGACAAAGAAGTGGGAACCCCAGCAGAGACCACTTCTGATCAGGCATAAATCTCACCACAAATCCACACAAATGTTAACTTCAGTGCCTCCAATAAAGTGCAGCTCACAGCTACTTCAGGGAAAAGCATCCTGGAGCAGAGCGACAGTCCCAAACAGAGCAAAGGAGTCTCTGAGTGAGGAGGACACAGAGACAGCAGCGGCACAGAGCGACAGGTGTGTCATGTTATTTTCTGGCTAATTTGCGGCTGACCATTAACCATTTGAGTATATAAATGCACTGACCAGACACTGACGGACAACAGTGGATATATTTAAATTTTTTGATCAAAATTATAGCTAGGGACAATTCAGTGGTAGCTGCCAAGCTGTAACCAATGCACGCTTTCTCTCTCTCTTCTCTTGTGCTCACTCAAAATGCCGACTAACATTAGTGTGGAGTGCCGTTCAGTCTACTGCTTATGGACCCAACATATCATATTATTTTCAAGGGCTTTAATGCATCATTGGAATGATAGATAAATATATAGGGATATTTATATTATTCTTATTTTTGTTTTGTTTTCTATATCAAAAAACATCAGGGGCTATAGCCCTGAATGCCCAGGTTTAACGACACCTCTGTATAATGGTATACACAAATTGAAATGACTATAGCTCCTGAACCACTCTGACTCTAAACAAGGACTTGCCAGAAAGAAAACCTTTCATGGTTTCTTTTGAAACACGTTCCCGTGTTACTGAACAGAGGAATGAGGATTTAGTGAAAATTTAAACTTACTGTCAAAAGTATGACAATTCAATATAGTTATAAAATGGCAGATCTCCAAAGAGATTACAAATTGATACCACACAACCAAATATTATTCTGTCATCACAAAATCAATTTTTCTGCCTTTTTTATTTTTGAATAATGCATCAATGTCTCAAATGTTTGTTTTTAGTCGTCATTCCAGACACCTGTGAATCATTAAGAGGCAAATATATTAACACTTTAACAAGACAAATACACAAAATACAAAATAACGTAGCAAAGTATGAATTAAAAAGACATAGTGGGGGTAAATTAATTCTCAGGTTTCATGCACTTCTAGTCATTCCTTCCATCTTTCTCCACATCTGAAGGACAGGCAACCCTATTTCATAGTTTCTATAACTAATGTAATTTTTTCTTCAAAACTAAACAGTAGCCTCATGAAAATACACAGACGAACAATAATGTAATAGGCTATTACAGTAGATGAAATAAAGGCCTATGATAACGAAACAAATACATAAAAAGAGTTTGTCAGTGTCCAACTAGTGATACGGATTTTCCGTGTTGTGCCATTTCACCTCTAAAATTGATGAGGCAACCTGGAGAAAGAAGAGTGGCGCACCGTTTCTGTCATTCCTCGCTAATCTACCCAGTAGAAGCTCATATGTACCATCTTCCCGCTGACCGTGAATGCAGCATTTCGAGCACACTGTCGTTTGGCCGTGGGAATTGTAGTCTACTCAAATTTGTGTCTCGAATTGTGCATTGGTATTGTGTGCTCTGGAAAACTACAAGTTCCAGATACCGCAATGCGGAAGTAGCGCAACAAAAACACTGCGAGGTTGCAGCATCACACCGAGAAGATGTCTCATGTCGTAAAGAAAAGAAAATTGGATAAAACCCGACAGGACAGGCTGTACTTTGACAGCTATACCGATGTGACTATCCACGAGGAAATGATAGCGGACCACGTCCGAACTAACACGTACCGGATGGCGATACTAAGGAACAGTGAGTCCATACGTGGTAAAGTTGTACTGGACGTCGGGGCAGGAACCGGCGTTTTAAGCATGTTCTGTGTACAAGCCGGTGCTAAGAAAGTGTACGCAGTCGAAGCCTGTTCTATCGCCGAGCAGGCTGTGAAGATAGTGAAACAGAACAATATGGAGGACAAAATTGAAGTCATTCGAGGCACAGTGGAGACAGTGGACCTACCGGAGATGGTGGAAGTGATAGTGAGCGAGTGGATGGGTTATGCCCTCTTGCACGAGTCCATGCTCAACTCGGTCCTCTACGCGCGCGACAAGTGGTTAAAGCCCGGTGGCATCATCCTTCCCAGCAAAGCCGAGCTCTACATCGCACCCATCTGCGACCCGGTGGTGGAGGACCGCTTACATTTCTGGTACACCGTCAAGGACCAGTACGGCGTCGACATGTCTTGCATGTCCGACTTCGCCAGGAGATGTATCATGAACTCCGACATCACTGTGAACTCGGTGACCGTCGAGGACGTGCTCTCCCACCCGGCGCGCTTCGCCGAGCTCGACTTGTACTCGGTCACCGTGGAGGAGCTGCGGTCGGTGAAGGGCAAGTTCAGGTGCGAGTCGTTCGGCTCGGCGGCGGTGAACGCTCTCTGTGTTTACTTCACGGTGACTTTCCCCTGCCCGGACAAGCCGCAGGCGCTTGTGCTCTCCACGTCTCCGTTCAAACCGGAGACGCACTGGAAGCAGGCGGTGCTGTACCTGGACACTCCGGTGGATGTGGTGCAAGACACGGTGGTCACCGGAGAGGTCAGCATGTATCCCTCGGAGGAAAGCGCCAGACATATATGTATCCATGTGGACTACATCATAGGAGAAGAGGAGAAAAGGCAGTCTAAGACTTTTTCCATCCCTGACTGGAGCAGTGAGGCCCAGCAGTAGTGTGACATCAACATTTAGTGTTACAGTTCAGGCCAGGCAACACATTACAAGTTATTTTTATTATTGTCCCAAAGCCAGAAGTGGAACCACGACTGTAGTGGTAAATGATCCATATCCAACCACTGTAAGATCACATTTGGGTCTCACTTTGGCAAATGCATGAAGGGAGTGCATCTGACATTGTACACATGAAAGAGTTAGGTTTTGGCCCATCTCTCCAAGCTATATTCACAAAATATCGAGTGCAGTTTTTTCAGTAGACAAAAACACCCAGTGGCTCCTACAATCAATGTGAACTACAGTTCTTCATTTGGAAGTTGTTTATGATGTGTTTGCGCTTGTTTTCACACCTAATAAACCATCTGACACCTACTTCGGAAGAGGAAAAAATGCATATCACCTTTCATTTCTATTAACCTCAGTCAACCACTGTTTGTGAAAGTCAGTACATTATTTGTATTGCATACTGTATATTCAGTATGGCAGCCATTACTCATTTGCACTAGGGCTTTATGATAAATCATTTGGTCTGTAAAATCTCAGAAAATAAGGTGGTGGGGGGAGGGGTATCCACAGTCCTTCGGGACATCTTCAAATGTCTTGTTTTGACCAGCCATATATCACTGTACTATGGTATTACAGACAACTAGGGAAATTTTGGTATTTTGATTTTAAAAATCCCTTAAACAATTAGTCGATAGTAGAAAGTTGCTGATTCATTTTCTGTTGATCGACTAATCAATTAATGGACGTATAATTTCAGCTCTAGTACTTACTTATAACTAGGTTTTAACAGTTTTATTGTTCGGGTGGAAAAGCATTTGAAACTATTTTTGACCATCACAAGAAACTAAAACTGCCGACGAATGTTGAGCTGTAGGTGTGTAGCTCTGTAAGGCAGAGGGAGGCAGGTGTTTCCAAATTGTTTAATAAATTCAGTGCCATGCTGCAGACATCTGATGTTCGAATGAATTTAATTATGCATATTGTGTGGAATCTGATCAAAATGCTGCATTCAGATGAGGTTTGGACCGATATATTGACTTGGACTAGCTGCAGTCAGGCAGGAGGCTGCATCATACAGGAGGTGTTTTACATTGGCTGGTTTTCAGTTTTTAAAAACAAACTAAATTGGCTCATTATTTTGGTTTAAACTAGCTCATGCTGTCATCTGTTGGCAGAAACCACCGACTTAATCCAAAGTTGTAATTCTGCTGCAAAATAGCAAAGGTAATTGTGTTCTTAGAGCAAAGTATTTCCATCCTGCATGTCAAGGACCTTGCTGTATCCAAGATACAACCAAGATGTGAAAATGAAGTTCTTTTTCATTGGCACCAATCAAGGTGCATAGTTATTAAAAAAAGTGACCATCTGGTGACTGATCCACCCTTTATTCATTTACTATACTACTTAAGAGTCTATGCACATTAGGTGGGTTTGGATTTGGACAGATTATATATCAGGGAGTTTGATTAGAGTTTGGTGAACTGACAACTGTGTTAAGAGAATTGTTTACCGACTTCATTCGTAATTGAACCAATGGGAATGAGACTCATTAATTGTTTGACTGTTTCATGTGTCACAAGTTTTGACTAGCTAACTACAGAAAGCATCCTGAGCATGTGCCAACATTACTTCAGTTATTTTTGTACAGCTACATTCATACATCCATACCTTGCTACAAGGAACCTTTTTTTCATTATTCACCAGGGACAATGCACATTAAACAGCACTTCAGTTTACACATCAGTGTAAATGTGCCGGGGTTAGCTAATGAGCTCATTTTCATTCGCAGTCCCTGGGCAGGTTATAACATTCGTATTAGATCACTGTCCTGAGAGTGAACTGTCTTTTAAAAAATATGGGTTCTCTGCTCTGCATTTCATTAGGTTAATTATTACCTATCTTAGCATCTATATCTGCTAGCTAGGGGATGACATTTCTGAACAAGATAGCAATACACGCACTTTTATGTGGCAGAAGTACCCATACTGATATTGATGCTTACAAAATGTGGGATGTTGGGCTTTATTGAAATAAGATTGACCACCATAACAACTTCATTGCTGAACAAATATAAATACATTTACCCAAAATACCAAGCTAAATATAAATATTATAAACGTTGACCTACCTATAACTTAAAAGTCATAACTGTAGTATTCTAAATAATATAAAAAACAGTATGACATTCAATTAAAAAACGAACGAATACCAATTATATTAATATTAGCATATTGGTATTGACCTGCTGACTACTGTACTGCTCTTTAACAGTGTTTGTAACACTATACTAAATCATAACTTTATATCATGCACCAACAATCACTGTTTCTGTAGGCGCATTATTTTTTATTTTTTCCTGCGGAATATTATGTTGCTCCCAGGTCAAACTAAAGACAATGTGTTGATTAAACCTTTATGTAACTAATGTACACTCCATGGACTGTGCTGATTATGTCTGTCTCAGTGTGCATTGAATTCAAGCCACAAGATGGGAATGAGTCTTATAGCATAAAGCACCTTTTCTGCATTCTAATTATACAGCAGTTAATAAATATGCAGAGTTCTGAAAATGTTAGACAATAATTCATCTTTCACACCCCATCATCATTTGAAATATGGCATTCATTCGTTTCAGTGTCGTCGGTACAAATATGAACCCACTCTCTAATGAACACATTGGAAATTAATCACAAGCGGTAGTGTCTACAAATCAAGGGCATTGTCTGTCAGTTTGGGAACGATTGAATAATGGCTGGATCACATTTTGAACTGCGAACTTGAACTGCGAGTAAAAAATAAACAAAATAAGTATCGAAAGACTGTGTGCGAATCAGCAAAAAGCTAGTAGAATACACACACTGCTCGCATAAAACATAAAACAAGTTGTTGGTTAGTTATGGTCATAATGAATAGGGAAAATGTGGCTAAGGTTTTCAAAATCCCAAATCAAAGCCTCTTGAAACCATTTGAAGTGTAATTATTGCATTAAACTGTCTTCACTGGTTCTCAACCCTCATTTTTATTTTTAATGTATAAAATTGGGCAATTTAACGAAAGAAGTAGATTTAAGGAAGTAGAAAAGCCAAATAATCAAATGCATCGGAGTACGATGGTGAGGTCTGTGTGTCCATATACAGTAGCAACTTGAAGCAAAAGCCAAGACTTGACACTAAATCCACATGCTCAAAAGGAGAGGTCAATCTCCACTGCCTCATCATTGGTTAAAAAACAAAACAACTTTGTAAGCTTTGTATGCTATCAAGTGACAACTGCTGCAACTGCAAATGATATGTAGCACAGCAGTAAAACTGCGGATGCATGTGATGAGTGTACACTAAGAACACAGAAGACAATAGTCTTCTCCTGTCACAGCACACTGATGACAGCAGTTTCTGTAGTGAGCTTCAGCTGCAGTGTCCGGGAAGCAAAATAATAATCACGATAACCCATTTTTTGCCTTTTATACCAGACAACTGGTCACGCCTGAGCATTGACTCCCAGTGCAACTGTTGTTACGTACCAAGTGTGCAACAACCCCGATCCTCCGGTGCCACGGTGAGTAACTGAGGGGGCTTTTAATATCACACAACCTTTAAGTTATTTTGGGGAGCTGGATTTATTATTATATATTATATATTAATGGAATCAAGGAAGGAAGGATTCAAGGAATCAAGGAAGGAATCAAGGAATCAAGGAAGTAATCAAAAAATAAAGGAAGGAAGGGATCAAGGAATTAAGTGAGGAATGAAGGAAGGAATGAAGGAAAGAAAGAATCAAGGAAGGATTGAAGGAAGGAATTAAGGAAGTGATCAAGGAATGAAGCAATCAAGGAATCAAGAAAGGAATTAAGGGATCAAAGAAGGAATCAAAGAAACAATCAAGGAAAGATTGAAGGAAGGAAGGAATCAAGGAAGGATTGAAGGAAGGAAGAAAAGAAGGAATTAAGGAAGGAATAAAGGACTCAAGGAAGTAATCAAGAAATCAAGGAAGAACTCAAGGAAGGAATGAAGTAATCAAGGAATGAAGCAATGAAGGAATGAAGAAATCAAGGAAGGATTGAAGGAAGGAAGGAATCAATAAAGGATTGAATGAAAGAAAGAATCCAAGAATGAAGGTAGTAATCAAGGAAGGAAGGAATGAATTTTAGACAGAGCCCCAACATATCACAGCAGTGCAACTGCTATCTACGAACACTTTAAGCAGCAAAACACTTCAAGCAAAAGCATCGCAAAGCACTTTGTCAAGACGGCAAGCACCACAAATCCTGTTGTCTTTCTGTGTGCACACAAGCATGATATATTAGGATTATTATTTTATTATCACACAAAAAAGTTATTTTGGGGAGCTGGATTTATTATTAAATATTTATATACTAATGGAATCAAGGAAGGGGCGGCGCAGTGGTTAGCACTGTCACCTCACAGCAAGAAGGTTGTGGCCGGCCTTTCTGTGTGGAGTTTGCATGTTCTCCCCGTGTCCGCGTGGGTTCTCTCCAGGTGCTCCGGCTTCCTCCCACCCTCCAAAGACATGCAGGCTAGGTTAATTGGTGTCTCTGAAATTGACCTTAGGTGTGGATGTGAGTGTAAGTGGTTGTTCGTCTATGTGTGGCCCTGTGATGAACTGGCGACCTGTCCAGGGTGTACCCCGCCTTTCGCCCGATGTCAGCTGGGATTGGCTCCAGCCTCCTGTGACCCCGTATGCAGGATAAGCGGTTGACGATGGATGGAATCAAAGAAGGAATCAAGGAAGGAAGTATTCAAGGAGAAAATGAAGTAAGAGAGTGGAATTAAACAATATTTCATGGTTCACACCCTTATATTATTGATTAACTATAGGCCTCAAAACAGCAGTATATCTGAGCGTGAATTATCAGTGTTTTATACCCTTATCTGGGCAACCTCCAGGATACGGAATTTCAATGCGTGGTTATCAAAGTTGTGAAAATGTAATTTATTATTTTTCAACAACAACATACAGTCATCCTTGAAAAACACTATTTTGTAAAACAAAATCACCTCAACAAATAATAAACATGAAAAAGTAACAACACTTCACACATGGCCAATGTCTTTGTCCACATACACCGCCATTATGGATCTTGATACAAATGATTAGTATAGTTTTGAATGTTGGCAGTCACATGGCCTGAGTACTTGACCCATCCCCCCTTCAGTGTTTTTCATGATATAACGTGCACCCACTTAATGCCGTTCCCCTCACAGCCTGTCAAATGCCTGTATCCCCTAAGATACAGAAACAGAAAAAAGATTTACGGGTTAAAAATTGCGAGGGCACAATTTATTTAATTAAATAAAAATTCATTGATGAAATACTAAAGATCTTCAAATAGTGCCCACCCCTGACTCTGTGGGTGCACAAATCACTTTT